AGTTATGTCGACCTTATTACTATGGCCGCGAAAATACACGGTCATGCAATGTCTATTCATATATCTCGTGCCTGGAACACGAAAAAGCATTTGATGTCAGGTTTGTTCAAGTTAGTCAATGTCGATACTTTAAACTGTTATAATTTCGTGAAAAAAAAAATTATAGAACAATTGTTTAACTAGTGTATGAATATTTTCACTTTTTTTAAAGAATTTCTAATGAATTTTGTGTATTTGATTTAGGCCAGAGTTTTTTATTGTAAACTTCCATTTAACATTTCGTACGTAACAAGCGATTACAGCGCCCCAACGGTAAAATACGCAATACACTTTCTACGATTCTCGAACGTAATCGATATTTCTCATGATCGATTTTTAAGCTAGAGAGCGAACCTTTAATGGCGGAAAGGACCGCAATTAGCATCTCATCTGTAAAAAAGGAAACGTTATCCAGAAAAATCATCCAAAAAGAAGTGTCATCCAAAAGTTCTCAGGTAAGAATATGAATCAATAGTTGTTAGATTTGTGTTTGTGTTTTGAATTTTTCAGATAAAATGTGCATTTTTGGCTCCAACACAAGGTAAGATTTAACCAAATAATTATTACATGTTAAAAAAATAATAGCATATAAACATTTAAACAGAACATAATCTCTTATAAAAATTATTTATAATTTTATACCAAAATTTAATGTCGCTTTTAACCACTAGAAATATTATATTCTTGTAATTGACTAACACATATGTATATACGTATTTTATTATATATTTTTACACACACATACTTCTATTATACTTGCCTGTTTATTCTTCAACTTCACACTGCGTAGTTCTTAACAATTCTAATAAGAAATTCAACAACAATTTATTAAGAATGTACATATTTAATAATAATAAAATAATAATTTTACTACGTAATATAATAAAATATTTCGTTTCTCAAGTAAGACGAAGAAGGCTTCGAAGTTCGAAAATCAAAACACGAGTTTATCTTCGTCTTAATATCGTGCCTATTTGGACAGTATCATCTTATCCCCTATTTTCTCAATTGCTAGACAACACGTGTCGCGAAGAGTCATTCGGCTGTAGAATTTCGTGATAATAACACGTGTTACGTCGCAATAGATCAGCAACATTTTCTAACCTATCGGTGGCGTCACTTCTTCAATGGTCTTACTTCAATTCTTTATACCTTACTAATAGTATCATTTATTTAATACGTATTTGACGATTCATCGAGCATCAAAATGAAATGCGTAAAATTTTGAAACTTTTCGTACTAATTTTTCTTCGATCGACGATTTTACTTTTATGGTTACCGGTACCTTGTCTCATACGCTTTTTTTATAGAATTTGAAGTTGACTATCGTTTCACTTTTACACATTTGCTTTTATTAGAGATGTTTGTTCTAACTTTTGGTTTCTTTTTGTGCAGGTTATTCCTTGGTTACAAAGATAGCGTAGAATGCATAAACGTGATCATTAATGAATAATCTGATGAAACTTCACGAAGAATGAAATTTCACGTTAGTAATATTATATTCATTCTAGGTAACATTTGTCATATAATTTATATATATATATACATTTGAAGTACAATTCATAATAATTTCGTACTCATATGGAATGGGATGAAAATGGGAAAGATTAAATAAATTAATATTTTAATTTGAATATGGAGATTGTAGTAGCTTGATGGTACATACTTGCAAATGAATATATATTCTTGTATTAGATTATTAAATTCAAAGTTTTCGTACTTGGCCATACTTTTGTACTTTGCTACAATATACCTTTTTTCAAACGTTGATGCAATCAAACGATTCAGAGCAAGATTTTACACGTGTATGATTTTTTAAATACATTTAGCTGTAAATTTTGATATGTACAAATATTTTCAAATATTTATATTACGAGACGTGATATATTACTAATATGTATACTTCACTTTAATAACAAACGTTTAGAATACAATTTCTACAAATATTTCTTCAAATATTGAAAAATACTTTATAATTTCCAACTAATATCTTTATTATATATTCAAGTTTATTCGTAATCATGTTCTAAAAAAAATAGCAATATTTCTAAATGAACGTATCCTTTGCCCTCCCCCTACTAATCAGCTTTATTTTCAGAAAATTTTTGTGACCGCGCGCAATGCGGTCGGTAGAGTCAGTGTTTATTGCGCAATATTTTAATATTTTTCTGAGCAGAATGGCTCTCATTAAATTAATTCATTTAAATCATAATTCGCGAAGTTAGAGTCAGTGAGTCGATTGTTACAAATGTGCGCGTTGACAGTCTTTTATTTTTTTATATTTTTTCTTATTCAACATTCGTTTGTATATACATTAGTGCTCCAGAGAATTAGGCTTCTCCGGAATATTAAGACCGTAAGCAATTTTATATATGGCACTTCAATTTACTCAATTTTTCAAATTTGACAACAAAGTATAATGTTTGACGTTTTGTCATAGACGCTTCACAGCATCTTCACTTTTTGGTATATTTTGGAGAAAATCTAACAGTGGCTCCAAAGCTAAGAATGTAAGAATGTCTTTCATTGTCTCGAACTTAAGATTCTGCTTTGCTTCTAAATACAAATTCTAATGCTTTATGTTTTGTTACAGATCCTCTACAATCTTCCCCTTAACCCTAAGAATGCAATTATGATGCTTAAGAATGTAAGTACTTTAGCATATTTAGCATATATAGTTAAACAATTAATTATATAATTGATACAATTATCAATTTAGTGGCAAGTAATTGCTGATTGGCTGCGATCTCGATTAGGTCTTTTGTCCATTACATTAAAGAAAATTAAATTATTAAATTATAATTTTGACATATGGGTAACTAATTTGTAAGCGCATGGAAAATATTTCATCCGAATTTGTTTATTTTTCGTGCGAAACTATTTTTCTAGTTTTCTAGGATTAATTATTTCTTCTACAATAATTAAAATCCATAAATGAGAGGGTTGTTCTTTCTTCTTCTCTTTAATTTCTCTTATATTACATCGAACTTCTGATAAGATTTATTTGAGCTGATAGGTTCTTTAATATTTTATTAATAATTTTAGAATTTTAATTTATGAAGAAAAATACCATCATAATACCGCAAGACGTAGATAAAACTCTTCTATTCAACTCTTGAAAATTTGACAACACTTTAATGGACTTTAATTTCAAAATTCATATTTCTGGCGCATTTATTACTTGATCAACTTTGATGTAGTTTCCCAATTCACCGTTGTTCATCGCCAGTGCCAAAACCATTGATTTTTTTAGTCGGTATTTCAGAGCATAGGACACAAAATCCCACAAGATGCTTGGTCTA